CATAAAGACAGATAGCTCAAATGTGGACATTATGCTGTAGACATCTGATATTAGATGACATTTAACCAATTTGTGGCATCCTAAAGACTTGATAATATCTTGCAGTGTTCAGAATTTTCCTGAGCCATGTATTTTAAATGAATGAAAAAAAAGAGATCTTGATCTGTTGTTATTTATGGTGGATTGGTTGGTTTTGCATGTGTATAAATTGTTGTTTTATTTGCATTGCTGTGTTGTTTAGTATTTCAAGTTCCTGTGTGCACATAATTGATTAGATATTTTAGTCCTTACCTGTGTTTGTTGTGTTTAGTACCATTTACTCTCCTTCCCCCTGCAGTTAAAAGCAAATAATGTGAGCATGAGAAATAACAGGGGTCTCAACAAAGCCCTGGGGATAGTTACAGTAACATTGCTGGATTTTTGATTGGGCTGCTATTTCTTTGCCAAATGCCCTGCATTGACCAAAGGAAATAATATGGGACTCCCTCATGTATTTTTGTCTCTTACTAAACCGTAGTTCAGCATTGTATTTTTTGATGGTATCCAAAAAAGGGAAGTAATTCTCTTACATTTCAATGTAACTGATCCACACTAGAAGAGAAGGCTGCTGAAACTGCCAAAAAAGGAAGTATTTGTTTTTATATTCTTATTGTGTGCATTCTTCTCCTTAGTTCCTGTATAAAATCCAAACAGGATTTATGAGGCAAAGATCACTATGTAGCTGAAACTTTAGCATCAATGGGACACAACTTTCCTGTGTAACCTAACATCTCTCTTAATAAGACTTTATTTTTATGTACGAGGATCGTGTGCACTGTGCGGGACAAAGGGCCTGCTAAACTGCCATGGTCCTCCTGAGATCAGCTCAAACAACAGTGCTGCACAGAGAAAAGTTGTGTTGGATTTTGTCTGAGGGTGCAAAAACTGGGTGGTACTAATCAGTCCTAACTCAATGGGACTCATGGTCCCCAAGCTTTGTCTGAGTTAAGTCTGTGTCAAAATAGAAAGCAGACTTAAAGATCTGACTCTGTCATGCTTTGCCAAATTAGCTGTGTCTCTATTAAAGAAGCTAATTATTTAGTAAAACCCTTCCTTTTTCTCACTACACATTTTTAGGAGACATCTACTTCTTCCGTTATATTAAAAATTGGCAAAGAGTTTGCGTGGGTGGCCAATCTATATACTAGAAATGTAGGCCTACCAATCACCTCTAAGCAAGCAGTAGCCTGGGTAGAGAAGTTTTCAGAAATAGTCCCTGCAAATATAAGGAGTTTCAATCTGTCGCAGTTGGACTACATGATCATTGTAGCTCTCTTCCAACTGAAATATTCTATTCTATTCTGTTCTGTTCTATTCTATCTAAGTGTAGCAAGTCATCATCAGACACGGGCTGAGCAAGGAACTAGGACAGGACCAGATCGGTAGTGAAGATGGTCACAACTTCTTGGACAATGAATATGGAGGAGTCTCCATAGCAGGCAGGGAAGAAATCATACATGGTGTGAACATAAAAATAACACAGCTCTAGCACATGGTTGAGCTGGAAAGACATTTTCTAGGGACTCTTAATGCTATGTACTTACCCTCTGCTTCCCTAAAAACTGTAGTCAATATCTGAAATATCACAAGCAGGATCTTAAAAACTCTTTAAATTTTTCCTCTTTTATTTTAAAATGAAACTAGAAAAATATCTCTTAATTATATTGCATTAATTTCAGTACATCGCAAGCCTTAAGAAGTGTAGCCCAAACTCCTTGCTGGAGAGGCTTCTTTTGAGAATTTGTTCGTATAATTACTGCTGCCAGCATGCCATATGGTAGATGAATATCACACTTCCAGATCTGAGTAAGTATTTCTTAGAGAGGGAAACTAAGGTAACTAAGGGTCCCTTGGAACCTACAGAAAAATCAGGTTCAAAGGCAGAGCTAGAGCACAAGTTTCCATCTCCCCTCTGTGGCATACATCACAAGAAACTATGGTGGAAAGAAAATGGCACTTAAGAGCAAGAAACTGCTTTCCAAGAATAATTCTTTCCTTATGCTACATAAATAATGGTAGCAGCCCCTATATTAGTTCATGTGACAGGACAGAAGAAAAAATACTTTGTTTCAGACGGCAATTGAAATGAAATTTTTGTTCTTGTCAGCCTCCTGTTGGAATTTGTATCTGCACGTGACAGCTTCGGAATTTTGTGATTTATATTTTCAAGAGGAATCATTCCAGAAAGCTCTCAAGGTTTACTATTTCTTTAAGCACTGAATTAGCCTCTTTAGTCAAGCCAAAGATTTATTTCTACTTCTGAGCCAGAGTGTTATTTTCCCTTCCCAAGCATTCACAGCTGTTTAAGTGCCTGCTAATACAAGAATTTTCAGCCTCCACATTCTTTAGGTTTAGAGTTTTCACCCTTTGTGTGATCCTCCTGCGCTGAATACGTACATCCGTTGCTAATGTCTTATGGGGGAAAACGGAGGTGTCAGACAAGGCACAGAGATGCACACTGTGAGCCTGACTCTGACCCTAGCAGCGGCTGAGCTCAGAGACTGGCTCTGCAGGGGACGGGAACGCTCCCTTCCGCACCTTCAGTGATCACAGCATCCGTGCCACGGGCTCCAAAATTCAGTGGCTCCTTATGATGCCTTTCCTGCCTTAAAACTCTGGGTTCATGCAGGTTAGGGATAAACTTGCCATGTATGTGCTGAGTAGTGCAGTGATCTCATGTAACAGCATTGAATCTGCTCAGTAAAGGAGACACTGATTATTTTCAAGTTCTGTCCATATTTTGCAAGTCCCCAGCCTCCTGGTCTAGAAGTACAGCTTTTGTTAATTCTAAGGCTTTGTTCTTGACTCTCTCCCCAGTCCTTATTTGCAGTCTTGCCAAACTCCCAGTCACCTCTTGCAGCCGTTTACTGAATGCTTATAAACATTAACACAAATACACCTTACCCATACGTACAAACACAAAACCCCATGTATGCTTGAGAACAGCTGTGAAATGAACACTGCAAAAGAAAACTCAAAATGTGGTACTTTCTCACATGGATGTTTTGCATAGTATTACATAAATGCTAGCTTTTTTGCATTTGATTTTTTATGGCTTCATAAATGAAGAACAGAACTCCAGATCTACAGGGCATTTTTTCTTAGATCTACAAAGATGTGGCAGCACGTACTGTTTAAGGATCCGATCTAGGAAGTTCAGGATTCACTGGCAGGGTTTGCTGGCTGTTAGGTCTGGTTCTGCTTGACTCCAGGATTATGAACATCCGCTTTATAATTTTGCTTCCAAAAAATGTCTCATTAATTTCTAGTTCAGTAAGAAGAGGGCAAAGCAGACCATCCATGTAAACAGAGGACAGCTCTGCTCACCACAAAGCTGGAGTCTGGTGGCTTGTGTGCTACCTCTCCTCCCCATTTCCCTTGCACTAGTTTCCCAAACACATCAAACACATGGCGACTTCTACATACTTTGGGGATATTAATTAACTAATTCTGCCCCTGTGAAGGAGCTGCTAATTGCTGTTAGACTCCATTTACAGCTGAGTTCACTGAGGCCCTGGAGGGAAGCAATTTCCTCAGCCTTCCCAAGCAGAGTGATAGTGCCAGGGACTGAGCCCACCCTGAGAGCTATTGCTCACCATTAATCCCTTCTGAAGCAGTCAAGCACTGAAAGCACTCAGCATCTTTCAGGATAGTCCTGAGCACCAGAAAGCATCAGGCCCAAGTGAGGCCAGGGAAAAGCAGCATGCCAAGCACAACGGTCCAAGAAGGTCCCAGCTGGGGTCAGATGCCTGCTCCAATCACCCTCAGCTCCTGTTGCATGCAAAGCCAATAATGACATAATTAATAACTAATTATAATGAGGGGAAGGGGAAAACGGTGCAGTGGATGCTAGCGGAATTCATAAAGTCAAATTCCAGTAAAATACAGTATGTGTACAAAATAATAGTTTAGTTCCTGGCTACCTACTGTGTTCAAGCTAAACAAAAGACAAAATAGTATCTTCAGGATGTATTTGCAAAGACCACTGTTCTCTATTATAAGATAAAATTGCAATAGTTTATTTTATTTAATTAGTATCTCATTTGTTCTAGTATGTTAAAAGGCTAATAATGCATATAAATTGATCTTGCATCTTTGGACAAATTGCACTATAAATATTATATTGTAAAAGAAGAAGGAAATGTGAGCATGGACTGTCTCCCATCAAACTGAATCGAATCTCACAGAAATACTCGGTAATTTACAGTATGGGCATGCTGGTAGGCAGAAGAGATGGTGACAAGTACAAGCACTTAGGGTTAGAAGTGTATATGGACCAATTGGTAGCTGTACTATCCCAGGAGAGACCCAAAGAAGGAATGATGCTTCTGAGACACACTTCCTTCCCTCTATGCTGACCCACCTCCGGCTGAAGAAGGAGAGCTTCCTTCCCCATCCCTGGGCAGCGTGCACATGCTGCTACACCCCCTCCTTCCTCCCTGGCAGCTGCTCTGGCTGCTCCCCATGGGTCGAGCCAGGCTCCCCTGCATCGGGGTACCGATGGGAAGTTTCCATGCTCCTCTATTTCCCTTCCCGGTGCCCCTGTAAGGCAAAGCTAGCATCCGCGGGGAAGCACTGGGTGCTACGGGAGGCTTGCGTCCCTCTCACACACACACACACACACACACACATATATGTACATATGAAGCGCTGTACCTATATAGCAAATGAGAAATCAGTGTACAAAAAGGACAAAAATACTTTGAAAAAAGATAGAATACATTTTAGAGTGTTCTATTCCATGTTTATATATGTGATATTAGGGATGAAGATTTGAGTTTCACGCAGGGCGATTCAGCCCCTATGTGAGTCAGACCTGCTTTTTTAACAAAGTGAAGAAGTATTGACCTGCCAGTTAAAAGCACATCGTTGTCAGTAGTGTGACCAAGTAACTAATAATATTTTTGTTTTCCTTTCCTTTTAGTTTAAGCCATCACAGTGTCAGCAACAATCAGAAGAAAATGCGAACATTTGTCTCAATAGCCCAGGATGCATGGGGAATTTTTATATCCGAAAGGAAGCCTGGCTGGAAGTATCTGATGCAGCTTTTTGCAGTTTGCTCTGCAGTTGGCTTCCTCTCAAGCTTTCTCTTATTCCTTGGCATGCACTTCTCCCTGGCAGACCACTCTTTGGGTCCCTTACTGATTTCTGGCTTCATCTGGATATCGCTTTCTATCGCGCTCTCCTGTTTCAAGCACCTGCGCTGCTTTAGTGTCCTGTTCCTTCTTTCTTGTGGACTGCAATTGCTCTTATTACTGCTGGCACAGGTGTCGTGGTGGCTGGCCACATCCAAAATATTTTTCACAACCTGAAGGTTCTGGCAGACAGTATAACCTGTCATTTAGAGTATGAGCAATTTGCCTTGATAAAATATTATGTTGAGGCAGTAAAATGGATTTACGAGGCGGCCAAGGTTTCCACTGAACTATCTAAATATATAGTGTTCCTAAAGCATGAATTCTCACCATCTTATTCAATTTCAGATGATGCGTTAAAACAAGAACTAAATGACACAAAGCAAGAAATCCAGAAAGTTGCTAACCAAATATCTTTTATGCTGACTATACTGCCCTATATAGGACAGAAAGTATTGCCTGTAGTGGGGATTTTTCTAGCTTCTTTGGGAACTGGTCTCTTTATCAAAAAATTTGTGGGCTCTCACAGTGCCAAATTTGAGAATACTTATATCACAAAACAGTTCATTGCATTTGATGAGCACCAAAAGCAACAGGAAAGACCCTGTCTTCTGCCACTTAACAAGAAAGAAAGAAAAGATTATGTGACAATCCCATCTTTCTGCCTCACAAGGAAGGACAGAAAAAACATGCAGTCATTTTTTCTCCCTGTAATTATTCATCTTTGCATCTGGCTTCTGTTTGCTGCCATAGATTATTTGTTTTATTGGTTAATTATTTCTGTGAATAAACATCTCCAAGAAGTACCGGATCTAGAGATTCAACTCAGCCTCTTTCAGCAAGTAAGTACTTACCAATACTTTATATTTCTTAGTTTACTGTTGAAAAATTTCCCTTCACCTTCCGTAGCTGCGGGAGCAGGCAAACAGACAATGAACCATCGGTTCTTTCATAGCATTATCATTCATTTGTTTCAAAAAGGACATTGCCTTTACAGATATGTATGTTGGATGGAATCAGACAGTTCTCTGTACTTTCCAAAGTGTCATCATGTTTCTAGAGAATGGTAAATATAGGAAGAAGGACTTTCATTCCTCCATTTATATATGTGGAGGAGAAGACCAGAAGCTTAAAATTGGAAACCCACAATGCCGACATTTGTGAAGCACCACTTTTATAGTCAAAGTGCCACTGTGACACTGACGTAAGAGATGCCTACCTTTCTTTAGCTGAGTAGTGTGAGGAGCGTGGCCGTGTACACACAAAATAATAACACATTGCCGAAAGCTCAAGGTTCTTCTAACAGGAGCAGCAGCAGCATAGAGAACCATAGAGTAATTGGGTTGGAAGGGACATCTGGAGACCTTCTAGACCAACCTCATGCTCAAAACAGGGCTAACTTCAGAGTCAGATCAGATAGCTCAGGGTCTTGTCTGTGAACACTTGTAAAGCTGGAGACTTCACTGCTGGAGTGTGTGACGTGTGATGCTGTGCGGGCACAGGAGAACTGCCCAGTTTGATAGCTTGCAAGATTAAGCTTAAAACATTTCCCCAAAATATATAACCTTTTGGTACTTTCAAGATAATAAGACTTCAAAGGGATTTGACTGTTAGTACAATATGATATCTGCTCTTTCTTCTGTCAACTTTTTCTTACTCAGCATTTTCTATTACTTCGTCTTAGAGCTCGTAATAATGAGAATTCATTCCCATTTCTTCCCATCCCCCCAAAATTCACTAACTAAAAGCAAATCCACAGAGTAAGGTTATTAAGGTGAGTAATGCAATTACAAGCAAACAGAACAGGACATACAGGCTTTGGCAGAGAGATTCTCATTCTCACTTTTCCATATGTGACATATTGAACCTCTGAGCTGGCTTCTTCAGCCAGACCACATTTTCTATGGCACACTGCTAAACCACTGCAGGTTTGCTTAGACAGTGGTGTGGCAGATTGGTGGTCCCGGTGTGTCATGTAACGTTCATCTGGTTGGGACTGAACCATGAAGGGGAAGCGAGATGTAGTGCACAGCATCCTTGAGGAATGGGAGCACTTCAGGCAAATGTGTACTAATGAAATTAGCTGAAATGAAGTCAAGCTACTGGTCAAATTCTGTCATACTTCAGATGATGATATCTTGTATTGTATATCAAAATATCAAATTTGTCCATGGGATAAAAATTAAATTATTATTCAGTTTTATCTTAACAAAGAGTAGAAAAATTTCCTGTCTGTATGGTAGACGTAAGCCAAAGGTTCACGGATTGCATCAGTGGAAAACCACTTTTCCTAGAGGATGGAGGCTGCCAACTTCCAATTGTTACCATTCTAATTGTTACCTGAACTTTCTTTTAGGAAGGTAGGTGCAAAAGCCATTGGATTCACTGTAACTGTGCAATCAGCACACATATAGAGAGTCAGACCCATCCTGGAGAGGTGAGACTCCTGTGCAAAAGCAGAGAGGCTTTCATTGTCTGGTCAGTCAGTCTAATGTGAGATATGTTGAGGAGGCAAATTGCTATGCACGCTAAGGGGGCTTTATACCTTATATAAACCCTGCTGCTGCACAGCAGCTGTGATCTAGCATGACCAAACCAGCATATTTGGTCCCCTGGGATAAGGTTCTTGAGACAACAAGGATTCAGGAGAGCTGGTTGATACTGAAAGGTCACCTACTCCAAGCTCAAGAATTATTCATCCCAACTAAATCAAGCAAAGGCAGCAGATGGCCAGCATGGATGGGCAACAAGCTCCTGACAAAACTCAAACATAAACCAGAAGAATAGAGGAAGTGGAAGCAGGGACAGGGGGCCCCAGAGGAATATGGAGACACCATCTGATTGTATAAGGATGGGGGCAGGAAAGCCAGAGCCTACCTGGAGCTGAATCAGGTGAGGCAGGTGAAGGGCAGCACAAAGGGCTTCTACAGGTCGATCAGCAACAAAGCAAGCCATGGGGAAATGTGGGTCCACTGCTAAGGGCAGTGGGGCTCCTGGTGACAGAGGACATGGAAAAGCCCAAAGTAATCAATGTCACCTTCAGCTCTGCCTTCACTAGGAATACCAGCCTTCAGGAATCCCAAGCCTCTGAGACCAGAGAGCAAGTCTGGAGCAAGGAAGACTTACCCTTGGTGGAGGAGGATCAGGTTAGGGAACATTTTAAAAAAGTAAGTCCATGGGACCTGATGGAAGGCACCCACGGGTGCTAAGGGGTCTGGATGATGTCACTGTGAGGCCACTCTGGATTATCTTTGAAAGCTCATGGTGCCTGGGAGAGATTCCTGAAGAGTGGCAGAAAGCAACTGTCACTCCCATCTTCAGGAAGGGCAAGGAGGAGGATCTAGGGAACTACACTCTGGCCAGCCTCACCTTGATCCCTGGGAATATAGTCATGGAATATAATCCCTGATGAAGAATATAATCATGGAAGTAATTTCCAAACATGTGAAGGCCAAGAAGGCTATTAGGAGTATTCAGCATGGATTTAGAAAGGTTAAATCTTGACCAACCTAACAGCATTCTATGATAGGACCACTGGATTTTTGGATGAAGGGAGAACAGTGGATGCTTATTGTGCATTTATTAAGGCTTCCAACGCTGTCTTCCACAACAACCCTATTGACAAACTGATGAGGCATAGGCTAGGTAAAAGGAGAGTGACGTGAACTGAAAATTGTGTGAACTACTGGACCCAAAATTTTCTGATTAGTGGCACAAAGTCAGTTCTGATGTCCCCCAGGAACAGACACTGGAACCTATACCGTTTAACCTCTTCATTAATGAACTGAACAAAGGAACAGATTGTAGCCACACAAGTTTGCAGATAATATATAACTGGGAAGAGTGGCTGAAACACCAGTGGGTTGTGCTGTTATTCAGATGGACTTGAAAAGACTAGAGAATTGGGCCAACAGGAACCTCACAGTGTCCATCAAAGGAAAATGCCATGTCTTGCAGTCCTTGGAGAGAAATAATCCTGTGCATTATACATGTTGGGGGCCAACCAGCTCAGAGATGGCTTTGCAGAAAAAGGCCCTGAGAGTTCTGGTGGACACCAAGTTGACCAGAAGCCTGCAAAGTGCCTTTATGGCAAAGAAAGAGCTATTCTGGGCTGCATTAGGCAGAACATTGCCAGCAGGCTGAGGGAGGTGATCCTTCTCCTCTGCTTCTTACACTGGTGAGACTCAGTGTGAGAAAGGCATTTACTGGAGTCAGTTGAGTAAAGGGTCAAGAAGATGATTAATGGACTGGAGCGTCTGTTGTACAAGGAGAGGCTGAGAGGGTCTGTTCAGGCTAGAGAAGAGATGGCTCAGGAGGATCTCATCAGTGTGTATAAATACTTGACAGAGAGTGGGTGTAAGAAAGAGGAGCCAGACTCTTCTCAGTGGTGCCCAGTGCAGGGACAGGAGTCAATGGGCACAAATTAAAGGAAATTCCATCTCAGTGTTAGAATTATTTTTTTTTACTCTTCAGGTGATCAAAGACTAAAACAGGTTTCTGAGACAGGTTGTGGAGTCTCCATCCCTGGAGATACTAAAAACCCAACTGAACGCAACCCTAAGCAACCTGCTGTAGCCTCAGCTATTCTCTGTGTACTACTGTGTGTGGTTTTGCCTGTGTTTCTATCCTTCGTACCTTGAGGACAGCCCCTTATCACGACCTGCCTTGGGTGTGACCCAAGTCAGGGTAAAGGAGGAGCTTAGTCCCACCACCCATGGACAGCAGGCCTAAGCCTGACCCTGTCTGGCTGATTCATGAGTCCCATACTATGAATTTGCTCTCTTTATGTGCAGTGTTCACTCCTGTGGAAAGTTGGTTGACTGTCTCAAAACAGAAAATTATGCCATCATCAGATTGTTTCTAGTTCCCTGAGGAAGGCTAGTCACATTAAAATGTTAAATTTAATCTCAACAGGTTTGTCATAACAAGCATCAGGGCTGCTGATTTCAAGGAGTCTAGAAAGCTAGCTGGGTCAGCAGGACAGACTCAGCAACTTCTTGAGATGTTTATTCTTGGTATGAACAGTAAAATTCTTCATGCACTTGTACCCATTTCATATTGAGTTCCTAATGCAGTTCTTCCTTACTTATACATTGGTTCAGTTTAGGGATAAAATGTACTGAGTGAGGTTGGAACAGGATAATGTCAAGGAAAGGCTAAAGGCTGAAAATGGGTAGCATGCTTTGGGCACCCAGTTCTTCCAATGAGCATCTAACAGAAGTGCCTGGCCTCTGTAGGGAGGTTAGAAGAGCCACAAGGAAGAGCTACATATCCCCCTGACATGGTCAGAAAAGAGGGCTGGGTGATTCAGTATCTCTACAGTGTTCCTACACAAGGAGTAGAAAGTTGCCTGCCAGTATGAAGTACTGGTCCCAGCAGCATGTCTAATTTAGTCCCTCTCATTCAGCATTTCAGTCTACAAGCAGTGCAAGACATCAGCTCTTCTAAGCAAAAGCATCTGTTAGAGGAGGAGAGGTGGCTTTGCTTGCATAATAACCTCGTGGTCAGAGCACCTGCCTAGGTGGGTGTCGAGGCACTGCTGATGTATGTACATGTATTGAGCCACAACCAAAGGGATGGACACACTCTGCTCTGCTGTTTTACTCTGAAGGAAGCACCCTCCAACAGAGGATCTGAGCAGATTCATGGGAGTGGGAATATATTAAACCATTATAGCCAGGTTCACTAAATATTTATCTATCAGAGCCTCTGAGAAGGTAAGTTCTTAACAGTCCAAATTGTGGGACAGTCTCCCAAGAAAATAGTGAAAATGAAGTCTTAAACATTTATAAATAGCCAATAAATACATTGTTATGAGCATAGCACATATAGACACTGGAGGGACTAGATGATTTACGGTCCTTTGTAAATCTGAATGTCCAACGGGAGAAATATTAAGAAAGGAGGGAATAAGTACTATAATCAACTCTTTTTTTCCCCTTTTCTTGTGCAGAGGAATGAGAACAGCTTTATCATTGGTATGAAAGAGCATATTGCAAAAACGGATCCTTTCAAGATCTCTTTGTTCAAGCATGTCTGCATCCCTCAGCCAGAGCTTGCTCTCTCCAAGACATGGATCCAGCTTGGAGTCATCATCTTCTTCTTAATCATTTTTGGGTTACTCTCTGGCCTTCTGACCCAACTTAAAATAATTGTGTCAACTTCATTTTATCCTGACATCGAGATGAAACGGATACAGTATTTGCATGCAAAATTACTCAAGAAAAGAGCAAAACTACAAGAGAAAACTGGGAAGAACCTGCTTGCTAGAAGGGTAAGCCAACAGCTCTAGGGAAAAAAGAATCTCCCTCTCTCGGAGTGGTAGCCAGATCCAGGAAATACTTAAAACACTTGTTAACTTCAATTATGTGCTAATAGACTTTCCCCAGTGCTCTTCTGCACAGGGGCCAGAGACAAGTTGCCTATTGGTGAGATTAGATAATATAATAGTTTTGTTCTGTCCTTCAACACACATGTATCAGATATGACATGGGTACAGCCAAATGACTATGTGCTGGCAAGAAAATACTCCTCAGACTTAGAACTCTGCAGAGAAGAAATTCGGTTTTCATGAACATATGAAAAGCACCTCCAGCACAAAGCATATTCCTGCAATTTAGACAGCAAATGTTAGGCATTTGTGAGCAGCCTTTGAATGTTGCAAAAGATGTTCAGTTGTTGCTTAGCAAAAATGGAAGGTGATATATTTCTGTTTTGCAACTGCAAAGACTGTTAGGAAACAGAACTTCTTGTTTGGAAAAACATTCGCCCTGTATATATACATATATATACACTAATGGAAATAAACACATGTGCATATATTTATGGCAAATCCAGATAGCTGCAGACACATAGATTTTGTTTAGGTTTGGGTTTTTTTAATAGCCTTCAGTACTGACTATATAGGATGTTAGTGTATGGGTGATCTCTAACTCAGTAATACTATGATCACAGCATCATCTTTCTGTGTTTTCAGGTCAACTTTTGGTTTCCAATTCTGAAGGCAAGAGAGGCAGTGAGGAAGAAAGAAACGAGTGTGGCAAATCACAACACAGTGTGAAAAAGGCCAAGTGAATCTTTGGATAAGGCTGAGATGCTTTAGCTCCACAGGGACCTGTGTTTTGCACCCATCTATACAATGGAATGTCAATTTTAAAATGTAAAAAATAGGATCAAAGGCTAAACATCAATATTTTGGAGAAGTGTGGAAAAGAAGCCACAAGAGATACTGTGCTCTTTGTGGCAGAGAGGGTTGCATTTATACTCGTTTTCCAACTTGGGGTCTGCATTGTCTGGCATTTTAGAAATCCATGGAGGGTCTGTTCTTCTGTGTAAAAGCTTTTAGGGCTACAGCACAAACCTCTTTGGCTGAGCTAAAAGAGGACCCAATGGCAGCAGCAGGTTTGTCTTCTTCACGTTTGCCAGATGCTGAAAATAGAAGACACAGCACAGACTGTCCAGTGGCTTCTGGGCTGGCCAAGTACCTAATTAGAGGGCTTAGATGTTTCTAGACATTTCTATCTATTTCTCAACCCTCAATTGCCCCAAAACCTTCAGCCTGGTTCTTTCCCATCCCACGCTTCATATACCTGCTGTTACCTTTGCAGCCTTCTCTCCTGCAGGGCCAGTGCTCTATATGCCCTGTCAATCTTCTAGCCCAGCCAAATTCTCCTCCGACCTTGGGTCCCCCACTTAATTTTGCTGATTTGTCTCTCAGAATTTTCTAACCCTAGTCTCCCACCTCGAATTTCTCACTTGGTCTTAGTCTCTCACTTTCACATATCCATAGACTGTATCGCTAGTGCAGATTGTCCCGTATCTTTGATGATCATGAGAGAGGTAATGTAGCATGTGCAGAAGTGAGAATGCTCACAAGAGCTAGAATACAGAGGAATCAGGTGCTAAGGGTGTAAACAAGCTGGTTTTGAGGTGTAGGGGCATACAAGCAGAGGTGAACAATGCTCCGAATCTTGCAGTCCAAGGGAGCTTGCAGAAGTGGCAAAAATGGGCTTAATTATGTTGCTAAAGCCACCATTGACTTCAATGAAACAAAACTGAGCCAATACTGAGTGCTTCACTTATCCAATTAGCGTCGGTGATGTGACCTTCGTATGACACAAGAATAAGTGCTAAAAGCATAAAGACGTAGGAACGACTTGACTGATGTGGCACTAGAGAGTTAATGTAGAGCTAAAAATCTACCCAACAGGCATTGTACTCTTAAATTTCAGCCACAGTCAACTTCTTTCTTTAGGTTGCATAATAACAAACTCTACTTTGTTCCTCTAAAATACAAGCGTGGTCCCAGGATAGCCATTGACCAATGCCTCTGTTATCTGAATGAATAAAGACTTATTTAAAACTTTCCAGCAGCAAGTGTCAGAAGTTATTTTTCACCTGAAACACTGAAAACACCAAGTCTTTTTTCTTTGGGTCTTCCAAATGAAGCCTCACTCCTCCATGGACACAGGTGGTTCAGGTTGCCAGTGTGATAACAATTTGTCTTTAGAAAATGAGGTGCTAGATTAAAGCCATGCATTATTGAGGGTTGTGCAGAATGTTTCTGAGTGGCCTCTGTCCTCTTTTGCTAACATGGGACAGCCCTGGATAGTAGCAGAACGTCATTTATATCACACGTACTACTGTCAAGTACCAGTAGCAAGAAGCATTCTGGTGAAAAAGAAGCAAAATGAAGGTTGCTTTAAATTTGTTTTCACAAAACAGACTAGTTGTGCCAGTACTATTGACAAGAGGATATATTCATTCACTCTTGTTATCACTGCAGATGAAAGGGGAAGAGTTAAATGTCAGCAAGAGCTGAGCATTTTTGTCTGAGTTCTAAGTTCATTGCTGATAGGAGTTGGATGTGCTCCTTTCAGTCCCGAAGGACAGGCTGGTGAGAAGCCCTGATCTCCTACTGATTACAACATCCAAAGGCAGGGGCAGGTCTGATTCACAGCACTACCACAAAACACTACCAGCTTCACTTGGCATCAGGAGGTAAAATTTGTTTTGGAGTTTCTTGCCTTTCTTGTTTGATGGTGTGGTGGCACCCAGCATGCCTTTTCTGTCTGTTGTTCTGCAAGCAACAAGTGAAAACTTTGCAGCGCATGGGAATGGTTCATCAAAATGACTCAGATGAGGGTCAGTGGTTGGGAGAGATACCTAAATCTGTTAGGATTTTGACTTCTGGAGTACACTCTTGGGACAATACCATGTCTGTACTTTGTATTTACTTAAGGAAATTAAGCCTAGTAGGAATGACTGGTTATGAAAAAGAGCCTTTAGTCTTTGGTAGGATAGGTGAGACCTTGCAGGGTTTACAGAAGGGTGTTGGACCTAAATGCTGGGGCTCCCACCACTAACAGGCAGGGCAGCTTACTGAGTATTGCTTAGCTTGCCCCCTCAAATTGGCAACTGCCATGGCAGCGAAAAAAGCCAAACCTTCTTGGGAAGCCAATTGTAATTCTGTACAAAATGTTCAGCTCTGGTAAACATTTTACCTTGATGCTTGACCCCACTACCAGTGACAAAAGACATGGAAAATAGGCTGGTCAAACACTTCAACAGGATGCCCAGAGAAGTTACGGAGTCTCCATCCTTGGAGATACTCAAAACCCAACTAGACATGGCTCTGAGCAACTCAGAGCAGTGGGGTTGGAGTAGATACCTGTAGAGGTGCCTGCCAGCTTCAGCCCCTCTATGATTTGGTGACTTTTACACAAAGCATTGCAGAAAACATATCAGACATGCACAGCAAAAGCTTGTGTTAATTTGTGAATGTGCTGTGCCAGCACCAGGGTGCCACCTGACAAATATTCTTGCCATTGTAGTCATACTGGAGTCACACAATTGAGTGGGCTATGCACTGTTTGCTTTTGTGACCATTTACATGCATACCCATGTGCTGAAGGTGAGCTGAATGGCAGGCAAAGGAGGTAAGTTTGCTCTTCCCCATCGCCCTACACCTGGGTTACCAGGGAAAATTCTGCACTTTTTTTTTATTTTCTAAACCAAAGTCACTCTCGGTGATCAAAGATGTTGAGATTTATCGCAGTGGTAGAACAGTTCTTACCCTGATCTACAGTATTAGGTCTATTAATTCAGCTGTCCAGTGGTCCTCTTTAGCTGTACAGATGAAAAGGCAGGTCCGTCTCACCCCTGGCATTACACAGAGACACACCCCTTATTCTCTGCAGATGTTACTTGGTTTCTGTTTTCTCCCATTTGTTTCTCTCCTGTGAGCTGGGGAAGTCTGGGAGTTTGTTTATCTTCAGCTGTCTCCTCTGCAAGTTGTTCAGCTATTGCCTTGGCCTCTCTGTTTACCATAACCCTCAACCACATGATTACATTGTTCTTTTTTCTTCCTTAAAAAAAAAAAAAAAGTCTACAAATTACAATAAAAAAACAGTATCCCATCCACAATTATTTCAGTTCCTCTTCTTGCCTACCCTCTCCTCACTGTTTATATATTTTATTTTGGCTCTTTTCCCCTGTCTTTGTCATTCAAAGTCCTTTCTCTTTTGGTATGTATTCTTCTGCTGCAGATCATTCTTCCCCATACATAAAAGCATGTATTTTTTCTTTCTGCTGAGCACAAGTGAACTACAGGTAGAGCTGAAATTAAGGATTTTATTTATTCATTTATTGGCTTAACAGAAATTTTTAGTATCTTTCACATTCCTGGGCATGGTCTCTTAACTACCTCTCTAAGGCTTGTCAGAAATGCACTCAGCACTCAGAACAAGAGACTGAGAAGTCTGGATTTGTTTTTTGACTCATTCATCCCTTTCCTTCCCCCAGCTCACAGCAGAGCTCAACTTCCTTTTAAACATCCTTCTCTACTGTAGAAGCTGTTTGATTTACTGTGAAAAATCTCCCAATTGGATCAAATCTGATTTGAAAAATTAATGAAAAGTTGACCTGATTGTCTTGTGAAGATAATTCAGAGAGACATGCTAGCGCTCCTGACTAGCACAATACAAACGAGGATGTTTCCTTTCAACAATCGTGTTTAAGTAACTCTCCTTATTACCACCCTGTACCCCTGAACTTGGCTTGCTTCATGGATAAGCTAAACGCATTTTTTTTTCTGTGCTAGTTTCGTTGCAGCATTTCGTGTGGGCAGCTGGGTGTGCAAAGTCAGAGGATGCTGGGTTTACAATCTATTTCACCCTGATCCCTGGACTGTCAATATTGTCACACTGATTCACTGTGTTTTCATCACAGTGTAAAATAACTCAGAGATGCTTGCAATTAAAGAAGAAATGAACAGGTGAAGCCTTTCCTCTAGTTCTGTTTTACAACGCAAAAGTGGAAAGGATCAAAGAATCACTCTCTGCTGACGATGAAATAAAGCCTGAAAATGGGGATGTTATTGTTGACTTTATGGGCACAGACTTCAAAATACACGAACCTGCTTCATGGGTGCTGGTGTGCATAAGAATAACCTCCTTCTCATTTCCTTTCTGATACATAATGCCAGCCCTGCCCTCCAGTGGCCCAGTAAAGCCACATGCCCCAGTATTGCTGCTCTCTGCAGAGATCCCCTGGTACTTCACGCTGAAGAGAGAAGCACTGCAGGTGTAGGTGCTGCGCCACAGCCATGAGCTCTTCACAGGCAGTGAAATGATAGCCAACAGACAACCGAGCAATAAACACATACTAGCTATACGCAGATTTCTCTGGCAAATGATGGGGATGAAAGCAATATTAGGTATGCCAGGATCAGATCTCCCAAATTTCTTCTCTGCTCCTGCACCTGAAATCCACATCACCAGCGATAATGGAGTACTAAAGATCCCAAATTTCTGTCTGGCTGGGAAGAGTGATAAAAATATGGTTAACAGAATTTTTTTCTTACTTCAACAATGTATTTGAATCCTCAACCTTTCCATACAAGAGAGAAGGGAAACCAGCAGAATCCCAAAAAGAAGTGCTAAGCAAGGAAAGGCTGTTCTGTGTTGCAACCTTGACAAAACAAATCCTCAGCTCCTCTGTACTGAGATGTACTGCTTCAGAAAAAAATGTGGTTTTTTTCAGCAATGCCTCCTCTCAAAC